AAGGAGAATGCACCTCAAACTGACAGGTTGACAGTTGATCCGAAAGGCCAAGTGCTAATTACTTTTTTTTTTTTTTAATTGCAGCATTATTCTCAATTTTTAATGTATAAGTATCCATAAAAATTTCACAAGGAGTGAATAGAAAAGGAAAGATCTTTCTATTATTTTTATTTTAAATTTCATAATTAAATATTATTGTCTCTTGTTTCATTATTAATAATATTTGTATATCTACAACTCAAATCTCTTACCCTACTCCGATCAGAGATTACCATTAAGTCTTGCTTAATTTATTTTTATTATATCTAAAGTAGCTCAACACTTACAAAAACCATACAAAATTATACACCGTAATTGGAAAGGAGAGAATTATTCATTACACCTGGGAGAATTTCCAGTTCTCCACTTTGGCAAACTCATGCGGTGGACTCCAAAAATGGATAATCGGTGTAGCCAACAATAGGATCAGAGGTATAGAAAGTCTCTCTGTGGTATTTATTGAGTGGAGCATTGAGTTCAAATCTCCTAGGTAAATCTGGATTGGCCAAGTAGAAAGGCCCATATGCCACAAGATCCGGACGATTTTCAGCCACTGCTTCGTTTCCTTCTTCCGGTTGTAACCCCCAGCAGCAATGAAGGTTCCTTTGAAAGCCTTTCTCATGGGAAGAAGACTGTGAGGACATTCACATGCTTCTCCAACTGCTGTTCTCATTCTTGGCTCAACCATGTATGGCAGTAGAGAAGAATCCCATATTTATTCAAGGCCTCAGCCATGTACAGGCCTAATGCTGCTGGAGCTGGATTAGAGTCTCCTGAGTCCAAGCAGTCTAAAACGGGAGATAGTCTTATTCCAACTTTATCCACTCCTACCTCATTGGTCTTAATTAGTTAAAACTCCAAACATTTAGAGGATCGGCTTTTTGTACGAGTGCTAAATCAAGCAATTATATACTATTTCTCAAGTCATTTTACTAGTTACACTTTTTAATTCAATTTCAAACTGATACTGAGAGATTAAGTTTGTTGTGTTCGAGTATAACAATAGCTTGATCTGGTATATATGGCGTTTGAAAATGGTTTGTGCACAATACTCTTCATGACGGAGCAGTGACCCAGTGCCCACTACACTTG